TATTCTGATCAAGGTTGATAACAGCCCAGGTTGATAGCATACACATTAGAAGATACTTTGACAGCATGACCATTTAGAAAAATAACAGCAGCAGGTTCTACCCAAGAGCCTGTGACCTCCCCAGCAGCAACAGTTTTTTTTATTGTGGTTTTGTTTTGTTTTGTTTTTAAACCAGCTTTACATTACCAGACATGAAATTCCCTCCTGTAGAGCAGATTTCAAATCCAATCAGGAAGTGGCACTGTAACAGTTGTGCCACTATTGCACCAGTGAGCACATTTTTCCTAGAAGGTCAGTATTGCAGCATGCAGGGCCCAATGCTGTTAAGACCATTTATGTCTTTTCTTTCCCAGCAACCTACATACCTGGAACCATGAAAGCTAACCTGTGAGCAAAAAAATTTCCAATTCAATGTGAGATTGATTTCTCTGTGTTCTGCAGCTAAAGTGTAGGGTATCTTCAGAAATAGGGTCTTATCATGTGGCTATGGAGGGTAGCCAAGGGCAAGGGCAATAGCTTGTGTTGTTTTGGAGACCTTTAGGGCCTTCCTGCCCAATAATTCACAGGGTGGTATCACATGCCTCGCACTGTGATTTTCATTCAATAACTTATGCACTCTGTGAGCAACACTGTCACCCATACAAGGTAATTCTGTTTGAACCCTTTTTTTCTTTTAAAGTTTTACTTTGAAATTAGCTTACTAACTGGGGGGTTTCCATAAGGCTTTTTCATATATCCTTAGTTTTCATTAACCCTAATCCATTATCCCCTCTTATCCCTCATCTTCCCACCTGTGACCCACTTAAATCATCTAAATTATTTAAATCCCAGCCTTACCCCCATATTTGTTTCGCCCATATTTACCATTCCTCCAATTATTATTTGTGAGAATGATCTCACTTCTGTACTTCACTACCTAACTTCCATATGGCTTTTAATACACCCGTCCTTTGGGTTGATCTTCCCATCATACCCCATTCAACTATGCTCCTCCCACTTAAACTATTCCACTCCTGGCTTTGCACATCTGTACTTTTGTTTAACATATAATCTACTATCCTTTCTCCTTTAAGATATTCCCAAAAGGCCCTTTCTAGTTTCCTGGCTTCCACTTATGCTCCAAGATAAATGGACAAACCAAAATATTTAAGACTGGGATCTGCAAATGAGAGAAAACAACTCAGCATTCCTCTTTCTGGGCCTAAATTATCTCACTCAGCATGATTTTGTTTCCAGTTCCAAATTTATGGTTTCATTTTTCTTTACAACTGAAAAATATTACATTGTGTTTAAGCGCTACATTTTTTAAATCCACTCATCTGTTAATGAGCATCTAGGTTGATTCCATTGCCTAGCTATTGTGAATGGAGCAGAATGAACATGGATGTGCAAATGTCTCGGTAGTAGGTCCATTGGGCATATGCCCAGGAGGAGTGTAGCTGGGTGATATGGCAATTGTATGTCTATTTTTTTTATGAATTCCCAGACTGATTTCCAAAGTGGCTACATTAGTTAACACTCCCAACAGCAACGTATAAGAGCTTCCTATAAACTGCGTCTGTATCTGTATTTGTTGTCATTTGTATTCACCATTGCTGCAATTCATATCAGTGACTTCCCAGCTGTCTGGAAAACTCAGTTTCTTTGTGGTTATTAGCCACCTCTGGCTCTTTCAACCTTTCTGCCCTCTTTTCTGTAGTGATCTTTGAGTCTTGGGTGGCAGAGGTTTGATATAGGTGTCCTATGTCCCAGAGTCATTTTTAACTGGGTTGATTAACAATTTTTTTATTTATCTTTTTTGTTTTTATTTTTTATGTGTATGAGTGTTTTACTTGCATATTTGCTAAGTGTGCCACTTAACATGCAATGGCCACGGAGGTCAGAAGAGGGCATTGGAGCCCCTGAAACTGGAGTTACAGATGGTTGTTAGCTGCCGTGTGGGTACTGGGGACTGAACCCTGGTCCCCAACCCTGGTTTTTTTTTTTAGTTCTTTGTATATTTTAGACATTAGTCACCTGTGAGTTGAATATCTGGCAAGGGTTTTCTTCCATCCTGTGGTCTGCCTGTTCACTCACTTCACAGTTTCTTTGCTGCACAGAAGCTTTATAGATTCATGAGATCCCATTGTTTGATTCTCGGTTTTATTTTCTGTGCTACCGGAGTCTAATTCAGAGTGTCCTTACTTGTGTCTGTAAGCTGAAGCATAATCCCTGCTTTTTTCTCCAACCATTTCAGGGTATTTGGTCTTATGATGAAGTTCTTGATACATTTGGGGTTGAATTTTGTGCATGGAGAGAGACGGGATCTAGTTTCATTTTTATGCATATTAGAATCCGATTTTCCCAGCATCATTTGTTAAAGTTGCTTTAACTTCAATTGTTTTCTTCAATGTATATTTTTGGCATCTTTGAAAAATCAGGTAGCTGTAGATACATGGACTTATATCTGGGTTCCCAATTCTGTTCCACTGACTTTCATGTCTGTTTTTGTGCCAGGGCCAGGTTATTTTCATTATTATGAGAAGACCTGCTCTTAACCTGTGTGGGAAATGTGATCACTCTATCAGGGATTCCACTCCTGACTTAGTGTGCACTTTTCCTATGACCTTTCTCTTACTCCACTTCTTATCTGATCTCCTTCAGAAACACAGCAGTTCAAAGCCAGAGACTCTAGTATATACATCTTTGATTTTTTTTTTCTTTTTACTTTGTTTTGTCTTTTCCAAAACAATGTTTTGGTTAGGGTGCTCATTAAACATTTACTGAGAGAATGGCCTTAATCTCCCTTCCCCAAATATGCCTAAATAATATGGGCCATAATGAAATTTTCATAAGGATAATTTTTAACGTAGGATCAAGATGACATAACATTCCATAAGTAGCCAAGTGATCTCTGAAGTATTGAGAATCAGCTAGACACTAACAGATGAAGGAGACAAAAACATAACTTCTGCATGTGTGTCTACAAGGTGCATGTATAAGTGTATGTGCACATGCATTACAGGACAGTAAAAAGCACATGCTGACTAGTTTCAAGGGCAGCTCTGCCAGTTACTAGTTGTGTGTCCTTGGGAAAATTACCTTTGAAACAAGCATGATGTACATGCCAACTAAATATTTTTAAAAGATAAAACGATATAGATTTTCATGCAGCATAGGATAGCTGTAAAGATTAAATTTAGGGTGTATGTAAAGCATTTAAAACACACTGCATATTGACATGTGCCTGGAGAATGTGTCAGAGCCCTCACTCACCTGGGAGAAATTTCACATCTGCTTTACAACTTCTCCCTCCCAATTCCCCCAAATCAGGGTTGAAAAATCAAGCTTCAGTAAGGAAGACATCTGCCTGCCAAGGTTAGGTTGTAAGGATAAGGGGTGACAAGAGGCTTATCACTGGGAGCCTCAAGATGGGACAAAGAAAGCCCACAGTTGCTAAGTTATGCTAGTTCTCAGAACCTTGGCGTCCTCACGGACAGAAGTTGGTTTTTGTAAGGATTCGAGAATGAGTGCTGACCTTTGTGGAGGAACTTCCAGGACCCAAGGGAAGCCCTTCATTCCAAATAGTCTCCAGTGTTCTCAAAGAAGCCTGCATCTTTTTAGCATAACTTTGATTTATGTTGGTTACTTGGTCAAAACTTCCTACCAAGGTAGACAGAAATTTTATTGTTCAGAAAACAGGATGATCAGGGAAAGCGATTCATTATATCTCTGAGCAAGAAGACTGCTTCTTACTGTCTACTGAAAGAGTTCCTTTGCCTCTAGTGAAACTACTAATTGTACTTCCTTCCCAGGCAATAACCAAATTTTCATGTTAACTAAAAGAAGTTCACATGCCTATTATTCTTAGGAGCTGTCTAGTAATTCTGTCAATTCCAAGAAATGCAATCTTTTCCTCAGCGTCTAAATGTCACTCATGAAACTGAAAATTTAGGATTCCATTTTTATGATGTTACAAAATACCTTAACAATATTTTCTAGTTAAGACCTGCTCAGAAATCTGTCTATAGAGTCAATGGCTGCATTTCTAAAACAAATCTTTCCTGGGCTCACTGTGGCCAATCACCTTGGGCAGATTCAATAAAAAAGTTAAACATAAGGAAAATATAGAGAGATACTTGGCTTTATAAAATCGCAGTGCTGATGGAAAAGCTGGGCAAACCTGGAGAGGCAGGAGCATGCTCCCATCTTCACAACAGTCATTTGCAGTTCCTGAGCCAATGCAGCATGCTTTTAAAACTCATCACTTTTCAAAATTTACAGGCTTGGAGTAAGATCTTGACATCGTCTGTGGTGCATGCTGAGTTCAGCTCTTTGTCAGAGTTACAGGTATTGATTTTGATCTTTCCATATTTTTAATGTCATCTTGATTTGGATGCATGGACCCTGGTGGGCTGAAATTGATTAGGACTGATTCTAAGAAAACTTACTAAGAAGGCAAAATTTATTTTCATTGCCTCTACCTGCCTTTCTCCTGTGTCGGCTTTCACTGTGAGGCTCCACTGCCTTCATGATGGTCAGGGTTCCTTCCAGGCATGTTCCATCCTCTCTAGAATATGCTTCTTGCTCCAAGCCCAGGAAACAGACCTGTTAGGTGTGGCTAGCCCTTGCTTATCAACTACTACTGCAACTTTCAGCATCCATTCTGATGGGTGAGTGGTGAGTGGATCCTTGCTCATTCGATGAGATTTTTCTTTTCTCTGTAGAATACACTATTTCTCTGCTACTGAATAAATTCAACCCATCACAACTCAAACATAATTTCTATGGACTGAGTCCATCTCTTCTTTGCTTCCACCATAGCATGTTTAGGTAGTCTATACTACTTCTTTATATATTTTTTATTTATTATTTTTATTTTATGTGTATGTGTGTATTGCCTGCATATAGGTAACTGCACCCATGTTGTGCAATGCCCATGGAGGACAAAAGAGGCATTATTATTTGCTGGGTTTGTGCCCTCCTTTTTTTTCCATTAAACTCCAAGATCTTCAAAGAACTCAATGTATTTGTTTTTTATTCCACTACATAGCACAGAGTCTGGCTCTTATTAATTTCACAATAAACATTTGTTGAGCAAATAAATTATTGGAATAATATGAATTAAAATCCTTTCTGTTCTCCCAAACAGAGGAGGACTAAAGACAGCATCAATCCATATCAAAAATGCTTTTGAGCAGATCTTTTTCCAATACCAAGCTGAGGACAGCAGCTTACTTAGAGTCAGAGCTGTTGTGTAGCACACACACTTTGTCAATGTCCCTTGGCAATAGAACCCACAAACACAGGCTGACTGTGGCAAGGTTGCTTCACCAGTTTAAGCAATTCCTTATCATGGCTCATCTTTCTGCAAGAGGGAATTGTTTCACAATGTTCTTATCCAAAGATGTGGTGAATTCCCTGTAAGTAAACAACACATTTTTACACAAGACAAAATGGATATATTTTATGATAAAATCTATTTATTTTTCTGAGTTTTCTGTTCTTCTGAAAAATGGTGGCAATTGGTGATTTCAAAATCTAATTGTCCAAGGGAAGATATTTGGGGTTGAATAGCCATTTACACTACTCCATAGTCCAGGCCAGGACCAAAGACATTCCACAGAGTGAAGGTATACATCAAACATAAATTGGAACAATCCATGTAAAATGAGATGTTCCCATTGCCCATACAGATTTGATTACCTCTAGGGAAACAAGAAACAAAAGAAAAATGCGCCTCCATCCCTCATTGTCCAAATTGCCTTGCACTGTGTCTTCACAGGACAGGAAGAACATGATAGAAAACACCTATGGTGGTACTTTACTAGGTACCATTTTCTATTTTTCTAGAAAAACGTGTTAAATATCTATTTTTATTTTTATTGGTTCATGACTTGAGATTTTATTCCTGATCACAAGTACAGGAACTAGACTTTTGTGGGAGTCTACAGACCACCGTGTGATGAGAAATAGATAATGTGGTTCATCTTTAAAACTTTGAGAAACAGATAATGTGGCTCATCTTTAAGTTTTTTGCTTAGGCAAATGTATCTGCATAATTTCTAAATGTTCCCAGAAACAAATACATGCTGTAATGTGAAATATTTCAGACTGTGTTTAAGAAAGACATATGTCAAACAAAGGGCGGGGGGATTAAAAAAACAAGTGTTTGTCCCTACCAACATACTTCAGTTTATTTCAAACTTACCTTTATTTCCTCTGCCTGTCTTATTTCTCTCCTGTTCCAGATGTCTTTCTGTAACTAATTACTTAATGTGCTGAGTCAGTTAGTTTTCTCATTATCTAATTCTGTATATTTATAATCTTTTGCCTGAAATATTTTGCTTGATCTTCTTCCATCTTATTTTCCAAATACCTTTAATTAATTCCTCTAGACACATCCTTATTCCCACCATCTCAAATTTATCTAGAAATGTGATAATCAATACTATTAATTATCTTAGATATTTGTAATTTTTTCTACCTTAAATGAGAAGACTGTAGCATGGGCCGTCAAAGGAAGTCACAACTCTAGGCTCTGTATAGAATTCTGTGCATGTTCAGTCAAACTCTCTGAGCCTCAGTTTTCTGACTGATTTAATCTATTTTGTTCACTCTACCCAGATAAAGCAAAAACACACTAAACATAACTGATGCAAGGAAGTGAGTAGACACCAACAGTTCTGGTTTGCTGTGTAGAAGCTTTATTCTATCAAAGACCTCTGAAGTCATCCTCCTACAGTGCTCCAGAACCTATTCCTTGCTGTGAACACATGCCAGATCTTTCTCTTGCCTCATCTAGCTGCCAGAATAGTCCTTGGGTTCTCTGAGGATTCTGAAAATGGTATTTGTGCTGCTCTTGCCCACTGTTACCTTCGAAGGCTTCAAGAATTCCATTACCCAAAGGCTGAAAAGGATCTATATTTGTAGCAATAGCGCTGATCACCAAAACCAAACCCACAGAAGGAGTCAACAAAAAGATGCCTTCTACAAGGGCATCAATCAGCATCACCACCAATACTGTTATGAAGGCAACATTGATCCTATTACTACTCCCCTTTCAGGGACCACCAATTCCCAGTACTGTTGACAATCTACATATCAGTGCCCTATGAAGATGACAGAGAAGTACATGTTCACTTCTGTTCTCTTTGATATATCCCCATGCCAGGGCTTAGCAAAGTTGTGTGGAAACTGGTCCAGGGACCAAATAGTATATTTCTGTACATGCTGCGCAGTGCTATTTGACTCTTTTCCTTAAAGCAAACTCCTTTTCTCACACCTGCATGCTCCCATATAAACAGACCTTTGTCCCCTACAATCAGCTCATTTTTTGGATGAATGAAACATATACCATCATTGGTCCTAATTCATGCTCCAGCCATGACTCTTGCTATATTATACATTAGCAGCAGGAGTAACTGTATTATGGCATTATTTTGAGGATTAGGTAGGTAGTACATGTATAGTGTATGTAAGCCATTTGGTAAGGCATCTTGAGGAGAGAAAGAGTATTTCAAGAGCAGAAACAGGAGCTGTGAGACTGGTGTATGTGAGGTGTCATAACGTAGCTCTCGTGGACAAGGAAATTCTTGAATGATGATTCCAAGATTCTTGAGTGATGCTCAAGAGCAAGTCTGGGAAAGGGACGAACTCCAAGATGAAGTCAGGTGATGCCACTAGGCACAGCAGCCATGCCCGCTGCATAGAACTTCCTTACTGATCCCAAGAACAAATGTGATATATAACCAACTCTCCCAGATTAAATTACTAAATATGTTTTTGGAGGAAATTTCTTTGTGTTAAGTTTGAAAGATTTTATTTTTACATCCTTTCTTGTATGTAGTAGTCAGAAGGTTTTGGAAAATGATCTGGCCAGTATATTGTCCCATAATCAGGGAAATACAGAATGAACAGTAGACAACAGTAGGCTCTAGACATGAGTAATAAAGACATCTTCAACCATAAACAGGAAGGAAAGAGAGCAAACTGGAAGTGGGGCAAGGCTGTAAACTCTCAAAGCCCCCCAGTGACGTACTTCCTCCGGCAGGACCACACTTCTTAAACCTCCTAAAATAGTGCCACCAACTGAGGACCAAGTGTTCAAATACATGAAGCCTATGGGAGGCATTTCTCATTCAAACTACCACAGCTCACTTAAAGCAGTTATACATGTTGACAGTAGATACTCTTTCATATAAGTAAAAAGTGCTCCATACTTATGGAAAAACAACATATAATCTGAGTCCTGCAGGCTTGATCTTTGGCATACTAAAAAGTATGCCAAAGAAAAGTAGAAAATTATCTCAACAAATCCTGGTTTTAAGTTAAATGGCTTTCTTGTAAAAATTCTGTCTTAGATGTCAGAAGTTGAAGAGTAATTACGTCTTCTTCTTTACATTTCTGCCATTGCAGAATTAACTACTCACACATCTACCCAGAACCAGCTACAAAAGTGGGGTGATCAATCTGGAAAAAGAAGATAGAATTCCTTATTCAAAATTATGAAGAATTTGAACATGGTGACCATAGAGCACTAATCAAATACAGCCAGCAGGTTACAATCTAACCATGCCAGCTCTGCTTCCATCTCACCCCAACAAATTTCTGTGAGGTCATGTACACAGAAATGCAATACACTCTTGCCTTGTGGGCTGTCTATATATGGTTCAGCAGAGTCTTCCCTTCACTACTCTAAGGACATTCATGTCAGAGGCTGAAGAAATGGATAGTCTGGGATTGTGTGGCACACTACCTGCCAAATATTTGCCTGTCCTGATATCAGTTACACAAATGATAATATTCTCTAATTCAGTGAAGAGACTGTCATCCATTCAAAAAATGAGAAATTATTCTGGTGATTTTCAACTGAATTTTTCCCTTTTTTAAATCAATCACCAAAGAAGGTTAATTTATCAAATTCTAATTAAAAGACTATATTTAAAAATCACACATATTTTTCTTCAAAATAGAACCACTTTTCATGTTTTTCCTAAATATTTGAAGCATTCATTTATCTGACTCCCTTGATAATGTAACTCATCTCTAGATCAGAATTACATCCTTACTGTGTATTACTTGAGGAAGCTCAAGCAAGCATCTGTTGCAGATCCCACAGTCATTGGGCCAGCACAGCAGATTCACTGAATACCAGACACGGAAATTGCCTGAGCAACTTTCTTTCCTTTACATACATACATACACACACATATATATGAGGTATTGAATACTAGGCTTGCCACAGATATTGGAAGAGTAAACTGTATCCCCAATCTTGTAAATCTTGATTTCCAGAATGATCATAGTATAATGTACAGCTGGCTCTCCATATTTGTGTGTTTTATACAAATGGATTCAGCAAACCCAGGATTGAAAAATGCAAAAGAAAACCATGATGGAGGGGTGAGACAATGCAAGAGATAAACAATGCCTAGCTAGTTTTGAAAACCAGAGGGAACCATATTACTCCTGCAACCTACTGACAAATTATACATAGTAGATCAAGAAATATATATCTAGGTAAGGTTTATCTGAGAACAACTGGTCTTTGTCCAAGATTTATATACATAACATGCAGTAATTAAAAATACCAGACTGGTGGAACTAACCTTCTTGGGTGTTTAACAGACATACTTTGAGGCCTATAATAATTTGGTCAGAGGGACATAAAGGATAGTTTTTGCTCCTTGCCCTCCTAGGTCAACTAGTTCCAGGGGACTATGAGCATCTCTCAAAATGTCCTG